AATTAGTATTGGGGACTCATAACATACATAGTTTTAAATCTTTAATATTCACCCTATTGGTGCCCCGCTTTACTATATTTATAAAATGGAATGGTTCTTCTTCATTGAGCGATTTTTTAAAATAAACTTTCCCAAAATCTTTTGTAAATCTAAACCACTTGATCTCATTCCAATTTTATTTTTTGCCGACATCGTCAATTTTCCGCAAAGTAAATAATTGTTTAGCAGCGTTTCCAAAATCATAAATATTGCTTTGTTGCATTTCGATAACTAAAAATTCCATCTAACGAATCGAACAAATTGAAACCAATCATGAGGATGGTGTATTTTTATTGATGTTTTTTTCTTCTTTTTTTCGATTAGTGCATGGTCGCTATCATAGTCCATGTGAGTGTGGCCAGTCACTAGGAATTTGTGGTCTATAGTAGTTATATTGCTGTCCATTTGCGCAAAATTTCAAACATTGTTGCAACGTAACTATTTTTATTTTGACCTGGACAGCAATCACTATAAAATACTACGTGTTTTGTATTCTAGACCATATTTTGAAGATGGTTAAAAACACAGGAAGCAATCTCATTTCCTCCTCTTTTTGCTAGAGCTTCATGCCACATATAACATATTGCTTGATTGGTTTCAAGATCATGAACACTTAAACTGAATGTCCATAATGGTCGTTTGTAAAAAAGAAAAGGGAATCCTCAACATTGGTGTTGGCAGGCATTGCTGAAGATCAAAACAAAACAACCTAAGTGAAGCATCATTCATAGCTTTTGCCTCAACTTTCTTCGCGGCATATGCTTGTTGTGCTTCACTAAGATGATGTGCTTGCTCTGTTTTTGAGAATGTTCAAGTAAGTCGCATTTGTGTCAAGTAAGTAAGGAATTTTTAAATTTCAATCCCATTTGATTACACAGCCTCGAAAATATTGTTAACGCCACAGAATGGTCGTATTTCTCGCAATGTAAGCGATGCATTGCTGCCACCGATAGATCACTTGGAAGGTAAAGTAATGATGTATCACGACGACTATAGTGCGACTCGTATGATGGAAAACGGTTAATGAATTCAATAATTTCATTTTGCTTATTAGATGATCATTTTCTGGCATTTTTGTGTCTCCCACGCATATCTGTAAATCCAGTTCCCTCAATTTTTGCTTTAGCAACTGATTTTATGAACTGTTCTGACTCGCACAAAGTAAATCTAAAGCATTTTTGGCATACTGATATTTTTTCAGTATTCACTTCTAAAAAATAGTTGTAAGAATAATCTCTTCTTCTTGGATTTACAGCAGACTTAAACCGCTTAATGGTTTTAGTAGTCTGCAGTTCAATCAACGCAGCACCACCTGCTCTTCGCAAACGATATGACCCGTGTGTCCAATAAGCCTTATGTATTTCTTTTTGCTGGTCATAAGATATTTTAGAAGCGCAGTTTTTCCTACAAGTTTCCAATTTACGCAATACCCGCGCGGAAATTAATTTGCCGGACTTTGAAATGTAAGATATTCCCTCGTTTCCCAGCTGATTTGCAAGTTTCCTTGACGATACTGCATTATTCGCAACGCTTAATGTGTTTTCCTAAATTTAAATTTTCATTACATAATTTCAAGCAATAAATGTGTAAGATCACAAAACTATTTACAATATATTGGTTAGTATCCCTTAAAATTGAGTTTTGATCAACATCATCTACGGTGTTGTCAGCAACTATTTCATTTTCACAAGAATTAGCAACTACTGCATTTGCCGTATTATTAATATTGAGCTCGATATTCATATTATTTTTAGTACATAAAGTCTCAATAAATACAACTTGTATTTCAGTATTATTATCACTTAATAAAGCATTCAATAACTCTGAAGAAACACTTTCGTTCAAAATATTATTATCCATTTTTCTACGACACCAGAATTGTCTACAAACTGAACACAACAACTTATGTTTGCAAAAAAATTCCGTAAGCACACACCAAAAACAACCTACATGCAGTTAAAGTACTGTTATATTTCAACGGCACTTTAACATAATAGCCTTAGTAGAGTTAAGATGTTTTGCAAAAATGAAGATTTCAAATATCGTAAAAATTGAATTTTGTTATAAGAACGTATGTTCACTTAAGTAGACAAAATTAAAGCAGGTCTTTGTAATATAAGAGATTAGTTAAATATAAGTTATTCAACTTAAGTGTGTATAAGTTTTAATGCATAAACATTTTAATATTGATTAAACTACCTTTAAAAAAAATTAAGTGGAAATAAGATATTGTGGCTAATGTATTATTTTCCAAAAAGACTTAAGTTAAAATATTAATGCGTAACACTTCAAAAATAACATTTCGTAATTGAAATTTGGCTGAGTGCTAGAACATGAAGAGGAGAATTAAAATATGTTATAAAATCAGAAAGCACTTATGCCGACTTATGCCGTTATTATTTGTTGCCATAGATACGAATCTGTAAGCGTACATTTCTAAACATTGAAATTAGCATAATTTTTCTCATTTAGCGCTGAAAATGCTAATTCTTCTATTTTCGTTCCCGTGATGCAAACAGTGGTGAAACACGCTAATAATTTTCTGTGGTGGAACATGCTTAACCAAAACAGTAAATATCCCAAAGTGAAACAGCCTTAATCGTGAACTTTCTCTATGTAATACGTTCCCTGGTTGCCACGTATGTAGTTATTTTTACTAACTATTGGGTCATTATGAAAAATGTCCGAACGCCTCCACCTGGTGGTGGCCAGGTATCCGAAAATGCGACAAGTAAACATATTCGTTATGAAACAATTATAAACCAACAGTCAAGGCAGTTGGACAAAAAGGAAAAATTGTGCGCCTTTCTTAAAGCCGAAAATCTTGAAAAACCAAGATCCAGTAAAAAAAAGGAAAGCTGAAATATCTCGTCAGCTTGTGAATTCAGCTTACAAAACAAAAACAGTTTACSATTGCACACAAAAAGAAGTTTCATAAGCTCGAAAAAGCCGTACGAAATAATAAATATAGATGACAAAATTCTTAAAAATTATGCCATGGAACGCAGACGGCCTTAACGGCCTTAAATGAGCTAGAAACAATACTCGTTCCTGAAAAAATTTACGTATGTTTAATATCTGAGACCCATTTTAGCACTCCAACTTACAATATAATTGAAGAGAGGAAGGTGATATCGGTGCATCAGTTTTGCTTTCAAAAAAATCATTCCACTATTGACCAAGTTCATAGCATAACTCGAGTCATTGAAAATGCCTTTAAAGAAAAAAAAATTGTCGGCCGAAATACAACCTGCATCAATTACAACATTGCAAGAAGATTTAAACAAAATATTTGAATTGACAGCCAAATGGCAATAAAATTAAACGAAAATAAATCAGTACATATTGATTTCACATACAACATCGATAGATAAATGTCTCTGTACTTAAACGGTGTGCAAATACCATTTCACAATACTGCGAAATACCTAAGTATGACCGTAGACACAAAATTTAGATGAGTACACATATGAAAAAGAAAAAAGAAGAATTAGAAATRAAATTCAGAAAAATGAATTGGACATTGGGTAGAAACTCTGCCGTATCCACATATAACAAAATTCTGGCAGGTGCTCAGATCAGTTTGGACTTATGGGATAAAACTTTAGGGCTACTCAAAACCGAGCACTAATCTTGAACGTGGTCTCGGAATTGACTCAGTTGCAGCAATCAACAAATATGCAAAGTCTCATATGGAAAGACTTTCTGACGATGTGAACACTGAAGCCAGTGCTCTTGTCGCTCAAAATAAATGGAAAGAAAGGTTTAAGCACAAATTACCGTATCACTTTATACAGTAGCAAGGAAGTTCAGTTGTTRCATTATTTATTTTGTATTATACAATAAGCAAAACAAATTGTTCGTTAGTTTGTTTTATGTTAACTAGTTACCATGGCAATGAATTAAAAAAATATATATACATATATATAAAATGCAACTTAAACCAATAACTGTACAGAAAAGTTATTTTTACCAGTCTTAACCCATTTAGATATTTGATTTACTGTTATTTTTTGGAAGAAGACAACGAGGTTTTCATTTAAGTAGTTTGGTTTTTTTAAGTACGGTGCTAATAAGGATTGTTCTTGTATGGTTAATTTAACTGTGACAATTTTTGTAGAAGCGAAGAAGGAATAATTTTGTTTTGAAAACACTCTAAATTAACCCCTAAGGAGGCTACTTAAGTCCCTAAACATAGAAAGATTATGCACGTCGAAATGGCATACTCCTTTTTCTAAGCTCTCAGACTTTCATTTGTATTTCGGAGCAAATTCCAGCATGCAGTTTGCTCAGCCACTCTTTATATTTTATGTGTACCTTTTCAAGGACACAAAATATCTGAACCCCTGTGTATTTATCTGATTTTATAACGCTTTTATTTACTTCACCTGTATGTATGTATGTACGTTTGTTACATTATTTTCAGTGGTACAAACAATTAAACAGGCACTACAAAAAATAAAAAATAAAACAAACAAGTGAGGAGGGCTTTCCGGTACAACTGAACTTTTTATACTCTTGCAATTTGCAAGAATTAAGCCAGCGAAATACCTTACGATGCAAAACCTCAACCAGAGGATCGGAATCTAAGCATTTTTATATATATAAACACATACTATAAACGTAACGTTTGTTAGAAAAACGAAAATAATTATATGTATGTAGTATATGGGAGTTGGGGCGGTATCGAACCGCTTTTATCTATTGACAATTACCATAGTTATATGGGGGCTGGGGTTAAGTTTTCGCCCAATTGTATATATTTTAACCACAGCACAAGTATTCTGTTATGAGGAAAACATTTTCTGTAATTTTCAATGAGATACCTCAAATATTGTCCTATATATTCAACACAAAGTCCCATGGAAAATCGAAAATCTTTATATTAGGTATAAGGGGCTCTGGGAAGTATACCCCCGATTCAACCCATTTTTGATACTCAGAATTACAATTGTCAGGAGAGAATATGAGGTTTGAAAATTAAGTAATGGGACTGATTTTATTGCCGCGCTTGTGGTAAACGTGTGACCTTGAAATTCCCTTTCTCTTTTTCCGGCATCCCTATATGCGTCAAGTTGAGTAGACGTGTGTTTGTAGTGCTCGTCACGAAAATGGAAGAACGAAATCAAGAGAAACGCGTCGCGATAAAATTTTGCGCCAGATTGGGCGAAACTGCTTCGGAAACGTACGCTAAAATTGTAAGAGTGTATGGTGATAGTGCTATTAGTCGTGCCCAGCTCCGAAAAAAGCTCGCATGAGCAAGTCGAAGGTGAAAACGATGATTACTGCTTTTCTTGATAGCCGTGGAATCGTCCACAAAGAATTCGTTCCACCGGGGAAAACTGTGAATCAAGCCTACTATTACCAMGTACTCGAAAGATTGTGAAAACGAGTCAAACAGCCTCTAAAGGGAACACCGTGTTGTAACAGAAGCCTTATTCGCCCGACATGTCACCCTGTGACTTTTTTTGCTTCCTAAAACAAAATCGGTGGTCAAACTAACCTATTTTGAGTCGATTACGGACATCCAGGCGGCCGTGACAAGGGTACTCGCGGACATCCAGTCGAAGCGTTTCAGAAAAGTTACGAAGAATAGAAAACGCGTTGGTATCGCTGTATAGCTGCCCAAGGGGACTACTTTGAAGAGGATGGCAGAGTTGTGGAATAATTTTGAAACATACGGTTTTTATGGAATCAGTCTCATTACTTAAATGTCATACCTCGTACTGTCTGAATTTCAATTGTATATCCCATACATTGATAGATATTTTTGGTCAAAAATCAACTATAGATACTGGGATAATATACTATAGATAAGGTGACATACTTTACTGTACATATTTATTAGAAATTATTAGTGCAAAGTTTCATCCCGTTATATTATTTACTTATTGATTTGCACACTGGAAAGTGAAAGAATCAATTGGAATTTAAAATTGGTTACATGGGAAGTAGCCGTGGTTGTAGTACGATTTTGCCAAGTTTCGCAGAGTGATGTAGAATATGAGAAAAATGCTGGTTATTAAATTAAATCGAAATCAGTGAGTCGGGCCCCGAGATATAAAGTTTCAACAAAAAGTTAGGGGTGCCACATCCATAGCGTTTCACCGGCTCTCATAAATCCCTCTTATACAATCTTGGAGGTAAAATACAATATAATGTTTGTGGTGTAATAAGTTGTTTATTAACTGCATTTTTAGTAGTTTTTCTACTCTTGCAACTAGTTGCTAGAGAGTATTGTAGTTTTATTCACCTAACGGTTGTACGTGTCACCTAAAACTAAATCTTCTTATATATAAAAACGAATCGCAAAATGTGTTGCTAAGCGTATAACTCAACAACGGCTGGACCAATTTCACTATTTTTTTTAAGTATTCGTTGTGGTTCAAAAATGGTTTTTACGGCAAGAAAAATTTGAATAATTGCCGGATAACCCCTAAACACAGCCCTTTTCTTTTTCCCCATATACATAAATGAATGAATGTTTGTTTGCTAGTTTGCTCGAGAACGGCTGAACCAATCTTGATGAAATTTTCAGAGGTTG